TGGTGCCCAGATTTTCATTGGCAGGTAGATCATGCAGGGCCCTTGCCTGGCCCATGTTCATGTCCACAGTCCCTACTGTCCTCTGACAGTAGACTTCAGCAGAGACCAAGATGTGCACAGTTTATTCACAACGAGGCCTCCTGTGGATTAAGCAATAGTGGGAGCCCCCCTGAAATCCTGGTTCCCAGATGCCAAACTTCAAGCAGACCTTTCTGAGGACAGCAGATTCAGCCTGCTGTTAGGTCTTGTCTACAGATAAGACACTCACCTAAAATGCTACTCAATTCTCTTATAGCCCATCTCACCCTTGAGCCAAGTTCTATACCCCTCAGAGGTCTGCAAAATGTGGGTGATGCTTACAGCCTATCTGTTGCACATGAGACCTCAAGGGACTGGCCACAGCATACCCGGCTGGCTTGGGGCATGTGGTCACTTCAAAGGTCACACACACATGTGCACACACCCACACACATCTCCATCCGTGGAGATAATGCCGGTTTTCTACATTCGAGAGTGGCCCTGTTGGGGACCAATTAGAAATTTTAAAGTTTTAATTAAGACCTGATCTGTGACTTGAGCAATCAGCAATCATTATATTGTCGTAACGTGACATAATCATTACATTAGACAAAATTGAAAACCTGACTCTGGGTAATTCTCCTAATTGAGAAGTGATTGCTTGCTTGGTCGCTCTATTCCTCAAGGATGCCAGGTGAACCTGCAGCCCACGTGGTGGGCACAGAAGAGACTCAGCTGTGGGCTTCGTCATCCTTCCCCACCTGGTCCCGGCCTCCTCCTGTGGACTGAGAGCCCACAGTTGCCCAAGCAATGGCTTTAGAGTGAGAACGGAGATACAGTTCCAGAGTTGTGAGCTTCCCGTCAGTCCCCATGAAGCAGGTCGTACCAACTCTGTGCCTGGAGACACAAAAGAGACACCCGCCCCCAGAAGCACAGGGTTTCCTGCGGGCACAGCCCACCGGGCTTTAAGGTTGAGCAGCAATGGGAGGTGGGACAGTGCCGAGGGCTGGGAGTGGACAGGGAGGGATGGGAGGCAGATGGACAGATGGGCGCATGCGGGCCGAGGTGTTCCTTCAGTCACAGAAAACAGAGTTCGATTCCCACCTGCCCTGGAGGAGCTCCACATGGCGAGGCAGACCTCTCCTGACCCGTCCGCTGCTCCCCTCAGCAGTGTACTTCGTCGATCTGCCTGTTCTGTACCCCACTCTGTCTCTGGTGAATCCTCTCACCCTCCACATCTCTGGCCTGTACCCCAGTTCTGTATGAATAAATAAAATAAATCTTTAAAAAAAAATTCCTCTGACCTGCTTGTGTCTTGCAGGTGTTTCTTCAACCTACGCCTTTCAAAGATGCAGGTCTTGTCTTTTAGGACTGCCCATCTGTGTCTATGCAGGTGTCTTTCTCCTTTCTCTTTTCCTTAATAATCTTGCTGTGTACTGATAAAAAGGAAACAATTCCTCCAGACCTCTAAGCAAAGTGATAGAATACCTTAGAGAAGTGAGAGAATTAGCTGCCATCAAATGTCCCAAATCAGCACACACATGAATCAACGAGGGGACAGCACTTTCAAAATACCCAAAGAGGGTACATGTGAACCAAGGACTTCATAAGCTATGAAGCGAAGCTCTCCTTCAAATGTCAAAGCTGTAGAGAACAGTTGCAAATCTACCAAGCTCGGGACACACTGCACTCATAAAGTCTTCAAGAGCTCTTCTACAAGATTAACTTTAACCATCGAGAGGTAACTAGGGCGACTTCACAGAAAGACAGACAACAGCATTTAATAAGCTAATTGTAGTTCTAAAGCAAACAGGCAAGGGAGGATAGTAGAATATAATATACCAATGCTTCCAGCTTTGAAACTAGAAATAATTCAATTATTAAGTGAAGAAATAAGAGGGAAAGAGAAAAGTAAATATATCTATTGTTATAAGGGCAGTAGGTAAAAATCAGATGACACCGTTAAAAGATAAACAAACCAGCCCTCCATGGGGGTGCAACAGGTTAAAGCACAGCACTAAGAAGCTAAAGCCACTTCCACATGAGTTCGATTCCTGCCTGCCCAGAGGTGACCACATGGCGCGGCAGACCTCTCCTGGCCCGCCCGCTGCTCCCCTCAGCAGTGTACTTTGTCGATCTGCCTGTTCTGCTCCCCACTCTGTCTCTGGTGAAGCCTCTCACCATCCCGGTGCCTCTGGCCTGTACCCAGTTCTGTATGCACAAATAAATCAATCTTTAAAAAAAAAAAAAAGATAGACAAACCATATACAAAAGATTAAATTAGAAAATAGATGGAAATTAGACTTTTGGTAAACATCATGTAGTATATACAGATGCTGGCTTATAAGGCTGCGCATCTGACACCTACATAGTGGCATAAGCCAATGCTGTATCGCTAAAAATATAAATAAAATAAAACGCCAAGGCAATAATTCCTCTGGATTTTTTTAAAAGAAAAGAAAATAGAGGACTAATGACATTTGATAAGATATAAAAAAGGGAGAAAGAGCGGCACTAGAATGTTTCTAATTACAAAGAAACCTTTTAGAAAACAAAGGAGCAAAAATAATAATATAGAGAAAAACATAAATATTAAAGTAAAGCATCATATACACAGTGATCAAATAATGTGGCAAACATGAGTCATATCAATAAATGTGAGCTCATCAATTTAAAAACTTTTATTCTGACAACTAAGCAAACTCCAACAATAAACTGTATAAAGAGACACCCTGAAAAGGCGTGGAGAGTCACTGTGCTTTATAGCATGTACAGATAACAGGGAGAACAGGAGGAGAGGTTCAATGTCATTACCCACTAGGGAAACTCAAATTAAAAATCACAAAGAACTATCAGTACGCACTTAGAAAAATCGTGACAACCATCCATGCTAGAGAGGATGCAGAGCCTCGATCTCTCCCCCATCACATGTGGGTACATGAAATGGTACAGCACTCAGGAAAATACTTTGACTTGACAATTCTTTAAACATTAACCATGCACTTACCATATGACTCAGTAATTTCACTCCTGGCATTTATCCCAGAGAAATGAAAACCTACATTCAAAACCTGTCCATGAATGTCACAGCAACTTTATTCATAACAGGCTCAAGCTGGAAATAACCCAGAGGTTCCTCAATGGGTGAATTATGAAACACACTGTGGTAAATCCATGTGGTGGATGAGACAAACTGGGGTGCACTCATGGATTGCACGAAAAGGAACAAAATAATGACATGAAACAACTTATAAGAATCACTAGGCAGTTATGGTGAGTGAGAAAAGAAAAACCAAAAAGGTCACATATCAGATGATTTCCTTTATAGAACATTTTGTAATGAGAACATTTTAGACATGGAGCCGAGATTAGAGGCTGCAGGGGTTAAGGAGGGTGTGCTGGTGGGGGAGGGTGGAAGCGGGGCGTCCAGGTGGTGATGAGGCGCTTCTGTATCCCTACGACACTAATGTCAGCACCTCGTGGTGATGTCTTACTACCATTTTTTCAAGAATTTACTACTAGGGGTAGTAAAGATCCATAAGAACACCTGTGTTCTCTCCTAAAACCACACATGGATCTACAGTTATCTAGAAAGAAAAAGGTGAATTAAATAATTTTAAAATAAAACCAGAAGTCTAAAAGGAAATGCAGGTACGTTTTTCTGTTTTGGTGATAGGAAAGATACTCTTCAGTTTAAAACCAGAAGAGCATAGTGAGAAACATAATTTTGACTACAGAATATCTAAAAACCCCTTGAAACATTTAAAATTAAAAAATAAACAAAAAATTGTCATAATATACATACGAAAACTGACTCTTTTATACAGTAAGAGAGCTTCAAAAAAATAGGAAGCATTCAAATCTCTTAATAGGAAGACACAGACAAAGGATAAGAATAGAAAGTTTGCAGGATAAGCAATGCAAATCTCCATCACTTATATAATAGTGTAATCCCAGTGGAATTAATTAAAACAAAACGTGAGTGCATTGTTCACTTGCCAGATAATCTGTGAGTGTTTTGAATGTTGTGGGTGGCAGAGCGATGTTTCTGGACACCAGCTTGTCAATATGTATTGGATTCTTAAAACATTGTTCTCTTAGCCAGCAAATGTATTTTAGGAAATTTATCTTCAGTTACCAAGAATAAAACAAAGTTTTATATATTTTATCTATAAAGATATTCATCACAGATTGATTATAGCAAAGAAAAAGAAGTGACCTTAATGTCAGATAAAGATAAAATAGTAAAGTACCCACCTGGTATAATCTAAATATATTCTGTTTTGGAAGAATAGTCACCAGCCTGGTAAAATGCTCACGATATATTGTAAAAAGATAAGACACTGTGATTATAAGTTTTTGTCATATCTATATGCTCAATATGATAGGGAGCGGACCATGTAAGAAAGCACACCAATTTATGATGGGGGGGTCTTATAGTTTATTCTTTTACAATAGAATATGTTTTCTTTTAGACGCCTACTTATATATAGTCCAACGTAGTGATTTTTTTTAATTAAGTAGGAAGTCAACTTGCGCAAGGTGCATCCTCCGCTGTCCTCCTGAAGGTGCCCACACAGGGAACACCCACTGCCTGGCTGGTCCCAGGCCCCAGACTGCAATACCTCTGGGCCCATTCAAAGGGCTTTTGTGCAAGACCCATCAGGGTCCTGCCTCTCAGCCTGGATAGTCAGCCACCAGTGCCCATTGGAATTTTCCAGATATCCAGAAGCCCACAATCCCCACCTCCAGCCCCTAGGCTCCATGTGAGTCTTTCAACTTGCCTGAATCATTCTCTGCATTACAAAGCTAATCCCAAACATTTTTTTAGTGTTTTTTTCTGACCTAACCCCACCTACACCAAAATCGCATTAATGTTTAAAACATGCTTATTTTAGTATTTAACAGTATGCATTGGCATTGCCTTTTTATTACTATTAAGTAAACATAGAAATTACACAAACAGAAATTTTAATGAGTACCTGAAGAAATCCATGAAAGAAAACCCATATCCATGCTGTTCAGCAATTCCTGCACAAACCACATTTGCAGAAGCTCCAATCAGCGTCCCATTACCTGGAATCAAAAATTTTAAAGTAAGACAAAAATCTCAGCTGTATCTTGGTAGTAAACTGCTCTTCTCTTTTGTTCTGTAATTCGAGTCCTATCACAAGCTTTTGATTTGATGATTGCTATTTACAGGCGCTATCCGAGTGATTGCTTTGCAAATATCTGCAGGGGAAAAGCACCAACAACCAGAAAATAAATTCAAGGCTTATAAAGATCATAATTCACGGAGGGACGGGACGAGTCTTTCCTCTGTGATCGAAGGAGGCACAGCACATCTTCTTGGGACGAGGTAACATAGATGTTTAGAGGAAAATGTTAGGCCCAACAACGCAGGCGAATGAGTCTCAGGTAAGGATCGCCTTCCACGGGACTCCAGGACCCACTCTGGCCAGAAGCACATTTCTGGACCAGGAAGGAGAGACGTCAACAACTGGGAGATAAAATGCCTTTTGGACAGCAGCACACCAGATCTTCGGAAGGAGATGAGGTGCACATGGATACACGAGAGAGGACACGTGCGGGGGGGCGGGGACCCAGCCTGGCTCCCGCACAGTGGCTGGCCGATGGGGGGTGCACGCTTGCAGAAGCGGGTCTCCATCTTCTATCCACTGCCACAGGGCAGCGTGCAGGGTGGCATGACCAGGCACGGCCGGCAGGGCTCACTGCAGATACCTGTACACACACCACCCAGGAGGAAACTGTCCACTGAGGACGGGCAGGAGACAGGCGTCTGGGGCTGTCTACGGCATGTGGGCATGAGGGAGTCCGGGCAGGGAGTGAGAGCAGAGCAGGAGGAGGAGCCCTGAAGAGGAGCTGCGTCCCCCCAGGCCTGCCTCCCCAAGCCGCCAAGCACCGTGGCACGTGTGCTTCTGGAACCAGCACGTGGGCAGACCCTCTGACCTCAGGGTCCCGTCATCATCAAGGTTTCTCCACTTGCAGGGAAGCGCTTCTATAGGAGACTTCCAGAGACTTCGATTCTTTCATGGATTTTTTCAGTTTTTGTAAACTATGGCTTTTGTAGCTTGAGCGTGTGTTCTCTGCTGAGTTGACAGCGATGCCTCCTTCCAATACCCTACCTAGACTCAGAAGGCCCCGACTTTGACCAGGGCGAGACTGGAGACAGTCTGGGGCTCACTGGGGTCTCTCTCCCTTCCTAGGCACAACATCTCATAAATGCTCCACCTCACTCAAAACTGGCTGCGCTGTGGTGTGAAGCTACTACTTGGGAAAGCACCACACACTACCTTTCTCTCCTTTCTGTCTGGCTTGTTTCTTCCCTCAGCCTCCTTGAGCTAGGATGGCACCTCCCGATGATGGCACCTCTCGATGACGGCACCTCCCGATGACGGCACCTCCCGATAAAACTTGAACTTACAAGCTTTCTAGGAAACCTAGGCTAAGGCAATTTTCTCTGAAGAACTATCTGAATTTTTCTTAGTTCTTCATAGAAAGAGCAACCAAAAATTATTGAGAGATAACCAGGGAAGATTTTTTTTGTTTTAAGCTAATAAATCATACCCAAATTATACAGCAAATAACATTTCTTAAACATAAAACTTATGTTCAATGGCCCTCCCTGGTGGCGCAGCGGGTTAAAGCACAGCACTGAGAATCTAAAGCCACTTCCTCATGAGTTCGATTCCCGCCTGCCCCGGAGGCGACCACATGACGTGGCAGACCTCTCCTGACCCGCCCGCTGCTCCCCTCAGCAGTGTACTTCCTCGATCTGCCTGTCTGCTCCCCGCTCTGTCTCTGGTGAATTCTCTCACCCTCCGCATCTCTGGCCTGTACCCCAGTTCTGTACAAATAAATAAATAAATCTTTAAAAAAAAAAAAAAACTTATGTTCAAGATGCTCTTCAAAGTGTCAAATCCTAATGGAATAAGGAGTTATCTTTTCATTGAACTTTGAAATGAAGAGAAAGTTCTGAAGATGGATGGTGGACATGGTTGTAACAGTATGAATGCACTAATACTACTGAACTGCACACTTACCACTGGTTAAAACTGACATTAAAGACACCCCCAACAGGTGCCGGAGAGGACACAGAGGAAGGGGATCCTAAGCGTGTAATCATATATGGCCATGAGAGGATGCATCTGCTTCTGGTATAACCTTGGCTTAGAGATTGTCTCCCCCACTCAAGAGCAATGTCAGGCACTAGCAGATGCTCATTGAGGCTGAATGAACAAAATCCCACCCAGAGGACACATTTCCAGGTCCGTGGATTCTGTTCACTGATGTTACCGGTAGCTGAGAATGCAGTGAACGTTTTTCCCAGTCCTGGTTCTTAATGGGAGTCATTTGAACGGGTCTGCAGTCTCGTAAGCTGGAGGTCTCAGTCGTCCCAACTAGGTGAATTAATTGTCTCGAGAAGTCACAGACATTTCACGGGAAGACACTAATCCCTCTTTACAGGAGATGAACTGAACAGAAAGGTATTGATTGAAAAGCTAGGCATCAAGCAAAGAACAAAGAAAGCTGGGTTATCTAACAGTGCCAGGATGTAAGAATAAAAACTTAAGATGCACCGGGTGTGCTTATCTAAGAATCTCACAATCCTCTTGTGTTCCCGAAGGGGATCAGGCGCCTAAGTGCGCGAGACACTCTACACTGGTCCACGACCGTTTGCTCACCGGAGCTTAGACCCCCGGACACTCTGTAATTCACTTTCCGGTTTTTCCCAGGACAGTACCTCCCTTGAAACAAATATTATTATTTTGCGATCTGTCCTCTTCCTCACAGTCTCCAGCTTGAGTGTACCTCTGGCTGCACCCACCCCTGCCCCACTCCATAGGGAGGGGCGAGGAGGGCAGCGCCTGACTCAGAGTCTGCTTCTGACCATAAGGCACTGGGCAAGGTGCGGGGTGGAGCACAGAGCCGAGAGGAGCCAGTCGTGGCCATCAGCCTCCAGGGCTCAGATGTCAGGGGCAGTTCTGGACCGTGGAAGTGACGGGTTTTACAAAGGAACTAAAGAGCTCCAGTCTGAGTGACGACGGGTTTCATTCAGGAAACACCTGCGTTCTCCTTCATTTACATTCTCTCCGACTCACACCTTCAGACACCAAGGTGCCCATGCTCCCCACCATGCATCAGCACCCCCTTACCTCCCAGGCAGGCACCCAGGGCCAGGGCATACATGAGCGGGGGTGCAGGCAGGCTGACCTCAGGGTCCCGGCTCAGGTTCAGGAGCACAGGGATCTGTGGAGGGAGAGGACATTGATGCCACATCCTTGGAAGCCCAGAGGAGCTGTGGGTACTTGACTGATGTGCAAAATCCGAAGCACTCTTTTAGCAAACAGTAAAGAGCATTGGGTACCCTAAAGGAACCCAGAGTGAAGTCTAGAATCCGCAATACTGTGAGTTTCGGCCACTGCTGTGTCTTTGTTTCCAGCCACAGCTTGTCCTCCTCAGCTGCTGCTGTGGGTCATCAAGGAGGCGAAGTCGTGAAGATGCCCTCAATGCCTGGGGGCGCAACTATCTCGCCCACCTTTACGAGCCCCGCAGTGGCACGACCCATGCTAACTTCATACAAGTGTCATCTTTTGAATCCTCAAAAGTCCCTCAGGGAGCTTGTTACTGAGAGGCATGGAGAGGCGGTGTTCTCGTGAGCAGCCAAGTCAGAATCTGAGCCGTTCTCTGAACCCCAACCACACAAGGCGCACCTGTACTAAGCTGCTTCTCTGAGCCCTGTGTGCCTCACCCCAAGCCTGGCCAAAGAGGTCACGGAGCTGTGGAAAATGCCATGCACTGGATGGTTTGGAACAACAACCAATATTATCGCACAGTGCTGAAGAGTGGCATCTGGGGCAAGCTGACTGTTTGACCACGGTCTCACTGCCTGCCCTACAGAGGATCCTCCCCGGCCGCTTCTGGATTCCTGGGTCGCCGGGGGTTCTTGGTGTTCTTTGGCTTACACCTTACCGGAAAGTTCCAGTCGCATGAGTGTTTCTCATGTGTCATCACACTGCCTTCCTTCTCTGCACGTTTGCCTCTGTGTCCGAATGCCCCCCCTTTTTTTTCTATGGACACCAGTCACGCTGAACTCAGACCAACCTAAGTTTAATGTGATCTCAAGCAAGGTCAAATTCCAAGGGATCCGTGCGTAACACATCAACAGATTTTTTAGTCAAAACGCAATTCAACCCATAGCTTCAACAACCACATGTAACAAGGAATAGAAACTCTGCAAAAGAAAATTTTGGAAAATTCATAACTGGACAATTTCAGCCTTCAAAAGGCAAAATTTAAGAATCTCTGAGGAGTTGGAGAAACAGATTTCCAGAATTACTCAAAATGCCTCATTATCGACAACAAAATAATACAAAACACAAATTAAATAGGGAGGTATGGGTCCATTCACCCGGAGGGGGGGGGGGGAGAGATTCGACAGAATCTAACCCTGAAGCCCAAACAAAAGAATTATCAATCAAAAATTCAAATAGCTAGCTCACATAGATTCAGAACTACAAACAGCTAAATCAAACCAGGAAGATGATACAGAAACCAAATGAGATGATCAGTTAAAAAAAGAAATTTAAGACCCTCCCTGGTGGCGCAGCGGGTTAAAGCACAGCACTGAGAATCTAAAGCCGCTTCTGCATGAGTTCGATTCCCGCCTGTCCCGGAGGTGACCACATGGCGCGGCAGACCTCTCCTGACCCGCCCACTGCTCCCCTCAGCAGTGTACTTCGTCGATCTGCCTGTTCTGCTCCCCACTCTGTCTCTGGTGAAGCCTGTTACCGCCCCTGAGCCTCTGGCCTGTACCCCAGTTCTGTATGCACAAATAAATAAATCTTTAAAAAAAAATTTAAAAAGGAATCTAAGAGAATTCTAGAGCTAAAAAGCACAATAACTGAAATGAAAGTTTCAGTTTAACAGCAGACAAGCAGACAGAACCAAGAACCAGCAAATATGAAGACAGAACATTTGAAATGAATAGGTCTAAGGGGCAGCGGAACAAAAACATGAAGAAATGAGCCAGCTCAGGATTTAGCACCTGGCAAATGCACCAGCAGGGGCTCCCGTCTCACCTGCTCACCTCTGCACCCACTCACCTGTCTTCTTCTGCACCTACCTGTCCTCCCAATAACCCAAGGCACCTCCTCTCCCTGCAGCCACACACCTGTCCTCCCTCTACACCCATGAGCCCTGGGATCACTTTGCACCTGTCCATGCCTTACACTCGCTGTTGCCCACCTGCTGCGAATACCTGCCAGCTGTCCCCGGACAAAGCTCGTCCCCTTGGACAGTCAATCTAGAGGACTGCCCAGTAGTCTTCTTTAATGGGACTGCCCAGACCTGCTTGCTGTCCTCTCCGTGGGATATGGCACGATTACTGTCTTGGGCAGCTGGCATTCTAAACGTGCCATCTGCTGAGTGAGGAGCTCAGTGGTGTAGAGGCCAGTCCTCAAGCCATGGCCTGCAGGATTCTCCCAAGGCTGCTCCCCACACCAGAGCAGAGGTTCTCCTGAGAGCTATGTGACCCACACAACCTGAGAACCTGCAGTTCGTGCCCCACAGATGCCCTCTGAGCCACGGGTGGCTGGGGGAGGCGCCAGCTGCTGTGTCTGCGGCTATCAGACTAGTCCCTTCTTTGCTTGCCCGGTGGTGAAGCTGGGACTCAAGCCCAGGCCCTCTTCTGCATACCGAGATGTCAATTTCTCCATATGTTCATGTTATTAAAGCAAAGCACAGCCCACGGGACCGAGCAACCCTCCATGTTAGTTTGCTCCTGCGTGTTTAAGGACAGGATGAGTTAAGGCAAAATGAGATTAAGTTACAAAAGCAAAACTGAACTGCTTGACTCTTGCCACCCTGAATAAGGAGTTCCTGCGTCAGGGGTGGCAGTAGCCGGCACTCTGTCTCAGCATCTCCTGGAGGGCTTGCGGTATCAGGACCCAGCAAGGAAAGAAGATGAAGGAGAAGAAATCAGCCTTTTTAAGAAATGACTTCCACACAGAGGCTGAATGATAACACAGATAATGATGAGTATAGAGAAGTCAGTGGAGAAAACCCACAAAATTATGTGCATAAATTACCATCCCTTGAATTCAACATCCAGGACAGGAATAATCATATGTTAACTTGAAAATTGCCTAAGAATTCTTCCTGCTCAAGCAAATGAAGCTGAAGAAGATAAGGTTTAAATGGAGAAGGACCGCCAGGGAGTTCTCTGTCATTAGCAATGGATTTCAGGTTTCCGAAACAGTTTTGAGGGCAGCAGATAGTGTATGCACAGCACTCACAACAGCAGCTGTGGCCATGGTTCACTGTCAACTGCAGAAGGAAAGAGATGAGCAAGGAAGCAATATCAAAGGCGTTTCCCTGGATGGAAGTACGTGTTACAGGTGTTTCACACCTGTCGATGGGGTACCACAGCCTCAGCCCTTGGGCCCTGCACCCCAAGCACAAGAGGAGTTAGCACCGGAGCATGAGGGAAGCTTCTGCTGAGACGTTGCCGTCTGTTCTGAGATCACAAGACACTGACGAAATATCAATATTAAAATGGTCTTCTCATTATGTGAAAGACTGTTGTTGTATTATGTCATCTCTAAAGATAAGAAAAGGTCAAAATGGAGAGGTGGGCCCAAGGCAGAGAGATAAGGAAAACTTCAAAGTGTAAATCTAATCCCCAAAAGCCCAGGGGTGCTCTCCCAAGTGCTCTGTAGCTTTATGTCAGGATTTTCACTAAAGCCCTGTCCAGCTGACTTGGAGAGATAAACCCATCTACAATCTAGTTCCTTCCATTTTGGACACTGTGAGATAAGCAAAAATTCAATCGCATGATCCTGTCAGTTATTAACTAAGTCTCTGGCATTTCCTGAATGGTGTGGTGTTGTTCTCAAACCACGGAAGAAAAAAAGGATCTGGAAAAATGTGAACAGTCTTCCCACCTACAGCTCTTGGCTCCCAGTGGACAAGACGCAAGAAAAAGAAACGCTCCCAAATGAAAGACACACTTTGGAGGAAAGACATGGCCTAAGAAGAGGCTTTGCTGGGTCTCTAACTCACTTCCTTGCAAGAAGGCCCAAATCTTCCAAGGAAAGCCTTCTGCATGGACTCCTGTCAGCCTCATCAGACTGCCTCAGTCTCCCCACGAGCCCCCCTGTGCGCTGCTGTGACATCACTTCCTGCTGTTAGAAATGGCGGCCACGTCTTCCAGCATTCTGGCTCCTTTCAATCAACTTTTCTTACCTGGTAAATGCCCATGGATGTCTTGCTGAGCTGCTCAATGACTTTGGCCAGAGCTGGGTGCTAAGCAAGTATTTCCACAGAATGTTCTTGGGTTTCTTTGTTCATTTTGGGAAAAGAACAAAGTTAAATAGTGGGACTCTCACCAACATGAAACCCACAGACCAGCTGGGCCTCCCGAGAGGCAAGGACCAGCTACTCCAAGGATGGGCTAAGACCCAGACCATCTAGAAGTGCTTGGGCTGGGCCCCTGGCCAGCTGGGGGCAAGAGACCACCCATGCAGAGCTGGGGTAGAGGGAGACACCCAGACTGTATTAGGGGAAGGGAAGGGTCAGGTTGCCTGGAGGAGATGCTCTTTTACGAACCAGCTTGTGCCTGACCAATTAAATTTTCCCAAGTCTGTAACTTCCTCAGTCTTACCTTTCTTACTCTTCTTCTGCTCCCATAAAACCATCTTAGCCCCCAGATCAGGGAGGCAGATTTGACTGTTGCCTTTACCTCCTTTCCCGCACAATAAATTCTTTTTCTCCGCCAAAGCCCGTATCATAGTATTGACTTCTTTCCCAGGCAGGCAACAAGCCTGTGCTGGGTAACAACACTTTCTATGACCCTGAAGACAGTGGGGGTACAACTTCCCTCCCTACAAACAGTGACAGAGCCACGAGAGGATGAGAGGGAGGGAGCCAGGGGTTACATGAGGGAATCATTCCTGAGGGAAAATTCATCTATTGTTTCTTCATTCTTCTGCAAACACTTGCTAAATATCTTCATGGGGCCCAGCACATGCGGCTAATAAAGACACAGATGTAAAGAAGAGAAAGGAGCTTCAGACCATCCTGACAATCCATCAGAGGACAGCCTCCATGGAGTTCCCTCAGGAGGACCTCAGAGTTTGAGCAAGACACTGCTCAGGAATACAGAAAGTGCTGAGGAGGAGAGGACATCTAGGGGGCAGTGAAGGAAGCATCAAGGAGCCCCTGCACCCCAAGACAGAAGGGGTGCACTCTCCCCACCCACTTTGCATCTTGAACAGGCTCCTCCATAAATTGCCCTGCAAGAAAGGTAGACTTGGAGAATTTGGCGGAGCGTGTGACAGGGTAAGCTCAGGGCAGAGTGACAGAGTCTGGGGGTTCTAGAGAAGTGACTTCACCTGAGAGAGAGAATGGGACACAAGTGCAGCCAACCCAGCATCCGGGAGCACAGGCCCAGCCACATCCACTGGCCAGAGGGGAGGCTGCCCCCATGCACAGGCTCCAGCCACAGTGAGGACTGTGCCTGCTGGCACACAACAGCATTCATCTTAGTTCTCCAACTCAGTACTTTCTGAAGATAAAAACAGCCAGAGGGTCAGCTCAGAATTGAGTCACCTGGGAAGACACTGTGAAGCCAGATAATGGGTAAGTGACAGTCCCAGGTCCCTAAGGCCCTGCATGAGAGAGAAGCACCCTGTTGACACCAGGCCCTCCCTCCCCTCACCGCCAGCTCCCTGCTGTTCCTTTAGGAGCCAGGTGATGGGAGCAGCCCTTACAGCCACAAGGGCTGAGACCTTCTCCCCCAGGCAGAGACCACCCTGGAGAAGGTTCTCACAGGGTAGGTGTCTGAGACAGGAGCCAGGCACCCTCGGGCAACCTCCACCCTTCCTTTAGTATGCCATGAATTCACAATCCAGCCCTACACAGTGGTGTCTGACGGTATAGCAGGAACGGGGCTCATCAGCGCTGTGAAAGGCCTCTACTGTGGACCCCAATCTTGGCTGGGGCCAGGACCACACACAGAATTCAAAACCTGCTCCGGCCGTGCACTGGAAACCCCGTGGATGGCCCAGAGGGTTTCTGCATCAAGGGACCTAGAGGATGAATACCCTGGACCAGCCTTCATGGCTTGGTGTCTCCCAGTTTAAATCAATCATGGCAGTGATTTTGCTGGATGGATGGTGCTCTCAGTCAGGTCGCCCCGCAACCACCAGCCAATTCAGAACTTGCCACCCCCAAGCAGGGGGCCCCCGGGCACCTGCCTGCCCTTTGGCCCACGGCCTGCACAGCTGTCTCCAAACATGGCGCGTCCCTTTGCTAACCCTCTGGTGAGCCCAAATTATGTGCAGGCCAGCGGCAGGACCTCCTCCCCCAGAGATGTGCAACTCACCATGGTCGCCGTGAATGGGATGTTGTCGATCAGGGACGAAGCAATGGCTGAGACCCAGACGATGAGGGCGATGGCGGCTGCGAGGCGCCGGTCCTCGGGGACCATCTGGAAGGGGCAGGTGACACGCCAAGTATGGCAGCCGCACAGCTCTAGCTCCCCAGTGAGGTCTGTGCCAGGGCAGGTGAGACTCGGAAGGCACCTCGGGGCTGTGAGGCCTCCGTCAGACCCATGAGGAGACCAAGGCAGACCCAGGGTCCCAACAGGACCAGCCTGGGCTTTCTCTGCCCTCCTGAAGCCTCCAGGGGTACCACACATATCTGAGGGGTCAATTTCCGGACAACTGTGCCAACCAGCCCACGGAAGGGAGCAGAGGGGCACCTGTTTCAACTCCATCTGGCTGTGGCAGTCACAGGACCCACCAGCCTGGCCTCGGAGCTGAGCCCGGAGCAGGGCCCTGCCGCACCCACTAGCTCAGATGGTATCTCTGTTGCTCTCCTTTTGGGACGGGTTTTAACGAAAGGCTAATAGCAAAATTGCAGGCATGGGTAATTATATATTCTTTGGGAAGAGTCTTCCTTCATCTCAAGGCTACATGGGATAAAACAGGTTCCCTGCTGTACATTTTTACATAATTAATGTGACCTATTCTTGCCAGTTTTTTTTTTTTTAAGCAAAGAAACAGTATCTGGAGCACATAATATTGCAGCATTTAATGTACCTTTATTAGCAAAGCAGTCTGTTCTCCAACATATTCTATTAAGTGAAGATGTGCCAGTGCCTATAAGAAATGGAGATAGGGTGAAAATCAGTGTAAAATTGAGACTATATGTATGTTTTTAAAAGCAATGTCTTTAATATGAAAATAAGTGAACATAAGGTAGATCCAGGCTCTCAGTTCTTATAAAAGATCAGACTCGGGCCCTGCCTGGTGGCACAACAGGTTAGGACACAGCACTGCAAGCTGGTGCAGCTGCTTCAGTGTGAGTTAGACCCCCGGTCCTGGAGGTGACCCACACGGCACCGCAGACCTCTCCTGACCCACCCGCGGCTCCCCTCAGCAATGTACTTCATCAGTCTGACTGTTCTGCTCCCCACTTTGTCTCTGGTGGATCTTCTCACTGCCTCTGCACCTCTGGCCTGTTCTGTATGCATAAATAAATATTTTAAAATAAATAAATAAAATAAAATAAAAGATCAGACTCAAGTACACAGTCTATAAACAATCACAGATGCCCAACGAGGGTTCTCTGGGAAGAGCGTGCAATGGCAGAGGCAGTTCTGCTTGGCTCACGTTAATGTCCATGATACATTTAAATTCGAACGCAAAGCCGTCCCTTGAAGAGCTCTGTGGAGGAGTACTGTTCAACTGTTCATAATGCAATGGCATTCCAGAGAGAAGCCCTTGCAAGCAAACTGCATTTCAAATTTCTTTTTAGCATTAAACATCACAGTTTTCAAAAAATGAAAAGAAAGTGTGGGGTTTTTATAACTGTCAGAGAAAGGTAGGAAAGAGCAATTTTAACAGAAGCATATAACTTTTTCTCACAGTGCTAGACAGATTTAGAACATTGTGTCCAGGGAAAGACAAGAAAGAAGATTAGATCAAGGAAATGGAAAGGCCGGAGCTGTTTGGGGCTGCCCCTTTGTCTCAGCCCTGGAGGGATACTGCTGCCCAGAAAAGGGTCCAGACAGGAAGCCTGGTCCAGACGGATGTGGGGCAACACTGCCCAGCATCTCTCAGAGAGGGACTTTTCACTGTGATATCATCTCGCTGAATGGCCGTAAACATTGAACACCTCAGCTTGACCTTGTTTAAATATGTCTTAAATGGGGACATTCAACCTGAAACTTATATAATGTTGTTATGCAATGCAATGTTACTTTAAGTAAAAAGAAATTAATACATGAATAAAACTTCCCCAAATATATGCAGACTAGCTTTGTTCTCATTTATTTAGTTATTGTGCAGTTCAAATATTAACTCTTTGTTCATAATTTTTTTTAAAGATTTATTTATTTGTGCATACAGAACTGGGGTACAGGCTCAGGGACGGCGAGAGGCTTCACCAGAGACAGAGTGGGGGGCAGAACAGGCAGATCGACGAAGTACACTGCTGAGGGGAGCGGCGGGTGGGTCAGGAGAGGTCTGCCACACCATGTGGGTCACCTCTGGGGCAGGCGGGAATCGAACTCATGTGGAAGTGGCTTAAGCTTCTTAGTGCAGTGCTTTAACCCACCGCGCCACCAGGGAGGGCCTGTTCATAATTTTTAATCAAGTTTGCTATGAAGCCAATAAATCACAAAGCTAAGTCTATCTAGAGAAGGGTGTCTCAATCCAACGCTGTTCGTATTAGGTACCAGATCATTTTTTGTCAAGGAACCTGACCTGCACTTTACAGGATGTTTAGCAAGACCCCTGGCTTCCACCCACTAGATGCTACCTCCCTCTCATCCAACATGACAAACAAAAATGTTTCCAGATGGTGCTAAGATCACCTAGAGCACAAAGTCACTCCCTGTTAAGAATCACTGATATAATCACCTCACTTTTTGAAAACAATTTTTTTAATTTTTAACTTCACACCTTTTATTTTGTCCTATTGTATTGTAACAGGGTGGTCCCTAGGAAAAGGGGAAGTTCCAGGTTCCATGCCCCACCTGGAAGGAGGGTGGAGCTGAGCAGACAAAAAGGAAAGAAAAAAAAAAGGAAGCTGGATGGAGAGCCAGAAGGAGACCTGAGGAAACCACGTGGAGCAGGGAGCATGAGATGAAGAAACCATGTTTCTTTCCCTACCCTGGACTGACTAAGGCAGATATGGGTGAGAGACCTATAGGGAGATGACTATGGCAGTGTTTATATTGTTTTTGATTTTGCTCTTTTCCTCCCAGATTTGTCTGGCCATTTCTGACCCTTTTCCATGGTTCCCGGCCAGAAGCCTTGTGGCACGCTTCCAGGCCTTGCTTTGGACTAATCCCTTTTGGGTTGACTTTTGCACACAAGGGGATGGGTAACTTCAGGTTTTTTATTTAAAAGTTATATTCTTTGGGGCCCTCCCTGGTGGCGCAGCGGGTTAAAGCACAGCACTGAGAAGCTAAAGTCACTTCCACATGAGTTCTTTTCCCACCTGCCCCGGAGGTGACCACATGGCGGGGCAGACCTCTCCTGACCCGCCCGCTGCTCCCCTCAGCAGTGTACTTCGTAGATCTGCCTTTTCTGCTCCCTGCTCT